CGTGGCAGCCCGTCTCGAGCACGGTCATGGGACCCTTCTCTGGCAGCCCCCTCTTCACGGCCATCATGATTAGATTGCCCTTCTCCTGGGGAGAAGGGTGAGGATCCAATCTCCTTCTCCTCCCCCTTCCCTCATCCTCCTTCTCCATCCACCTCTTTCATCCTCCTCATCCCTCCTCCTTGCAGAGTGCTGGTTCCCCCCCTCACACCTCCACCTCGCGGGTGGTCCGCGCCGCAGAGACGGTGCCGAACCGCTGGGACGGCAACATGCTCGTGAGATGAGGTTGGCGTGTGTGTATGCCAGTAAACTCTGCCTATCCCTCTTGGACCCTTTTCTAAGTCCTCTCGGGTTCAAGTGGGGGTTGGTGGGTTGGACCGTATCCCGTGAAAACCAGTTGTGCTGTCTTGTCCGCCTGAAATGTCCAGTCCCACCTTCCCTCCCCATCCTCCTCATACTACTCCCTCCTCCTCCTCCTCCTTTCTCCTTTCTCCTCCTCCTCCTCCTCCTCCTCCGCCTCCTCCTCCTCCCTCCTCCATCTCGTCCTTCTCCTCCTCCTCCTCCTCCTCCTCCTCCTCCTACTCTTCCTTCTCATGCTCCTCATTTGCTTGGTCCTACTCCCGCCAGAGGAGGGCGAGGAGGAGGAAGGCGAGGATGGGGATCGGGACGAATGGGGAGGGGGAGAATGAGGATGTAGGGTGGATGAAGAGCATGTAGAATGTGGGATGGAGGAGGATGGAGGGAGGATGAAGGATGGAGGATTCGGAGGGGAACTAGGAAGAGTATTGGAAAGACGGGGCGATGCTTAAGAGGAGGAGTCGGAGTCGGAGTCGGAGTCGGAGTCGGAGTCGGAGTCTGAGTCGGAGGAGGAGAATGGGGAACGCGCGTAGCATGGTGAACCTGTGAACAATGCAATAAGAAAATCAGCACCCGGCAGGGTGGGAAATGTGAGAAGGCTGATGTCCCTTACATAATAATCTCGCGGATGAGTAAGTCGCAAGTGAAGTGACACATCACAGCGGAACGCAGGGCATTGCAGGCGATGGCAGGCTCTGGCGGGAACATCGGGCGAGCATCGTGGGCAGGAGAGCCACCGCCACCACGGGCCTCGCGCCAAACTCACGGTCGCCGACGCACTCGAGGTATTCATCCCGTTCATTTGCCAAGACAACATCGTCAAGCCTCTTGTAATCAATCGGCGTGGTGCACGGCTCGATCCGCACAGGGCCGCCCTTGCTGCCGAGAGAGGTGCACGGAGCTGAGGTAGAGCGAAGCAGTCCTAGTTTCGAGACCGTCACGGCCGTCAGGATGTTCAAATATGCTGTCAGAGCGGCGGCAGCCCCTTCCATATCCACATAACCTCCGAGCAGTAGCGGGCGAAGCAGCCCAGGGTGGCGGCGCGGTTCCCGACGTACGCTCGCCGAGAGGCGTACCAGGGGAGCGCCCACGATCCACTGCTTCGCAGAAAAAAACACATGTTTTGACACAACTACCGGGTCCAGCTCCCCGACCCGCCCACTATGGGCATCAATGTCCGCAGGAATTCTGCCAAGAGCAGAATCACAATGTTGGGGAACTTCACGGATCGGCTGGGCCAGCCGCTGGCCAAGGCTTTCGACTAGAAGACTCGTATTGGTTGCCACAGCCGGTTGCACAGCAGAACCAGCACTACCAGGTAAAAGTCTGGATGCTACATTTCGAAAGAGGCCGAAGTGAGCCGCATGATCTTTTCAAGGGTATGCATGCTGTGACAGATCGACCGCAGGCGGTCCTCAATCTCGCAAAAACCTGACTCCCAACCCGCACTCGCGTTGTCATGGACAACAGAATCGGTCCCTTCTACCAGTCACCGGCATGCAAGGAGGGAAAAGCCTCGAGCATGCCCTTGAGAGCATCGCGATGGTGCCGCTCGTATCCTCCACGAGAGCACTGCAGGAAGCCAGCTGACCGTCATGCACTCGCACAGAAGCCTTGGAAGTCGGAGGCGCTGCAACGGGTGTGAACCCCAGCGCCGACGAGTTGAATGTGAAAGCAACCGCCCCCCTCCCACGCCGAGAAGCATAGCGAGGCGCACACAAACACACACACACACACACAAACACACACACACACCGTAGAGTAGCAAACCTCATGATTGGGATAAGCACTTTGGAGTTCAGATTCGAGGTCGGTGAGAAACGGCTCAGCCCACGGGGATGCGAAATGTCGCAGCACCTGCTCGGCGACTCCCAGCCGTCGGATACGGCGCCGCGTAGACGATGAGAGAGCCTGCCGCTGACCATGGGCAGCCCTATGCAATCCAGAACAATGCTGGGCCGGATGCAGAGGAATACGCCTCAGAAGGTGGCCAGTTAAACAAGGCAAAGAAGCAAAAGAAACATCATCCATCGCAAGAACAGTCAGAACCATCAAGACAAGCTAACAGAAGCAAAGCTAGCCGACTTGCGCCAGAATGGCTACGTAGGCGGAGGAAGAGGAGGAGGATGGAAATGGGAGGAGAGAA